GGCCCGACTGCAGGCGCGGGCTTCCTGCACCGCCTCTTTAGGGGCTCCGGCACTGCTCCCCAGCTCCTAGCGGTGGGCAGCATCTGGCGAGGCCGGAGACGCGATGCCCCCAGCAGCAGCCGGTGGACCAAACGGCGGTGGCGGGGGGGAGCAAAATAGGCTCCTTGGTGTTTGGCTCTTGTTTCTCCGTGAGCCCAGGACTGCTGGGGCCCTCCCCCGCTTCTTCATGACCCCCTCTGTCCAGAAACTTAGAAACTTGGAGAGGCCCCAAGCCCGGAGTCCTTGAGTTTCCCTAACTCACCTCCTCTCACCTCGACTCCTCAGACTCCTTCCTCACTGGCCGTTCACAGATGTGTCTTCCTTTCTGAGTCTGGGTCCTTGATTTTCCCCCGGGATCCGTCGCCCTGGTCCTTGCCCTTCCAAACCCACCTGTCTTTTAGAATGGAGCTAGAATTCCTCTCCCTTTCTAAGCTCGGAACCCCCTGGGTGTCTCGGTATCCCCCGGAGAGTCCTGATGTTATGTAAAGGGATTCTCCTGAACAAAGGTAATCTGTTAAATGCTTAAATAGCCTGCAAGCATGGGTAGAACTTTTCAAATAATTGCGTTTACAAATGAGAAAGAAAACCCTTTGCCTGAAAGAAAAAGTGTCCTGTGTTGTGATTGGGACGTGTGGCTGCTTCATTCCCCCAAGGATCTACCTGGTGACGTCATGCCTCGTGTCCCTAACTGGATGGTTAGCTCCTCTAGGGCAGAGATTATGCCTGAACAAACGCGTAAATTCCAAATCTTTTCAAGTTTTGGTGGGGGAAAAGATTTCAGAAGTGTGGAGAAATTGGAAATATAACCGACAAATAATTTTGTACTCTTCACAAACACAAAATCACTTTTTAGCGTGTCAGAAAAATGTGCTGTCACAATTGCTCCAGGCTCCTGATTGACGCAAATCAGTGTGATTCAGTGTAGTAGAAGGGATAGTGGGATGGGTAGAAAATTGGCCTTTTAGTTTGGTTTGTCCTGTTTTAGCCAGATGAACTCTGACTTAACTTCTCTGGAGATGCAGGTTCCTCGTGTTGGATTCAGATTTAAGGATAATAAATATGCTTGCCCAGTCTACTATAGAACATCATCAGGGTGGAGATCAATGTGAAATGGAATTAAAGTTCTGTTTGTTTTTTCTTTTAAGTATTCTGTTGTTGTTCAAGAAATAATCCTTAACATGTTTTTTTTTTAAGATTTTATTTTTTTAAGTAATCTCTACACCCAACATGGGATTTGAACTTACAACCGTGAGATCAAGACTTGAATGCTTTACGGACTGAATCAGCCAGGCGCCCCACTTTACTAAATTTTCCAATGCAAATTATTTTTAAGTGTTTTAAAATTTTGTGACTATTAAGTGCCAAGGTGATAACCGACTATTAAAAAAAAAAAAAAAACAGGTTGGGACGCCTGGGTGGCTCAACAGTTAAGCATCTGCCTTTGGCTCTGAGTGTGATCCTGGAGTCCCGGGATCAAGTCCCACATCAGGCTCCCTGCATGGAGCCTAATTCTCCCTCTGCCTCTGCTTCTCTCTCTGTGTGTCTCTCATGAATAAATAAATAGAATCTTTAAAAAATAATAAAAGAAAATAAAAAATTTAAGAAACCCAGGCAATTCTGTATTTTTGCCAGTTTCTGAAGACGAGGGAAAGGCCTTGGGATCAGAAAGACAAGTGTCACCAAATGTGACCCTGGGCAAGTAACCTAGCATGCCCTCGTGTGAGTCAGACATAAGCTGGAATTCAGGCCCTCCCAGTTTCACATGCTGCATCTCCATCGCTCTGACCATCAGTCTCATCGGTAAAATATGAATAATAACAACATTGATGGAATGCTCCCTGCGAGCTGTGTGCCATTTCAAGCATATTGCAGGTTTTAAGTGCTCAGGGGCTATTCTGATCTGCATTTTATGGCTGAGGATTCTGAAGCACAAGATTATGTCATTTGTTTAGTGCTGCCCAGTCAGTAAGTGCTGGAGCCCAGGACGAAGCCCAGGCAATCTGACTCGAGTCTCTACTCTTTTCCATGCAAGACGGCTCCCTACCTGTGGGGCCATGTGAGCATAACACGAAATCATACACATAAAGCACCTGACGTGTGGCCTGACATGTTGCTTGTTAGAATTATCACATCATGTCAAGGTGTAACTGTGGGGGACACCTGGGGGGCTCAGGGTTGAGCGTCTGCTTTCAGCTGAGTTCGTGATCCCTGGGTCCTGGGATCGAGTCCCACATTGGGCTCCCCACACCCCAACGTGTCTCTGCCTCTCTGTGTGTGTGTGTCTCTCATGAATAAATAAATTAAATTAAATATTATTTATTATTTTTAAAAGGCATAACTGTGGGAATGTCTATAGGTCTATAGCCCAGCTCCTGGCAAAAGGAGTACTCTAGAAGCTGGTTCTCTTCCCCATTAAAATTATGAGAAAACAGAGAACATGCTCCACGGTGCAAGCAGATACAGAAAATGCTCATTTATGCATGTTATTTTTTTTTTTTATCCTTTGGAAAGAGGTCACTACAGGGAATACCTCAGCAACTGTGGAATACAGGGGCACCTGGATGGCTCAGTGGTTGAGTCTGCCTTTGGCTCTGGTCATGATCTCAGGGTCCTGGGACTGAGTTCCACATCCGCTCCCTGCAGGGGAGCTTCTCCCTCTACCTGTGTCTCTGGCTCTCTCTCTCTCATGAATAAATAAATAAAATCTCAAAAAAAAAAAAAAAAGAACCTCTGGAATACACCTTTGCTACAGGCAAATTCATGTCTCTATTCTCATTTTTTTGTTTTTTATTATGCTTCTTTTTTATTGTCTTTATGGTCTTCTAAAGAAAAATTAAGGTTTCCCTGGACAGGGAAAGTCTTGAGCCTCATGTCACAGACAGGAGAACTGGCATGAAACATTGCCAGTGCCTGTGAGATTTTGAAGGTTTAGACTTCCCCTCAGTTCTCTGGGGTGGCCTAAAATCCCAAACCCCGGGCCCTGGAGGTGTCCTCTGATGGCTGGGTCTTCCTGGGTCTCTACCCTGGGTTGGGCATCTGGTTCTTCCTATGCACACACCTGCCTACCTACACACATGCTCCCATAATCTGTCATTCACAGTTATTCACACAATCACTTCTTCACACCCACACATACAGCCCACCCCAGACGTACCTTTCCACCCTAGGCCCCCGTACAAACAACACACGGTGCACAGACACCAAATGCACTTACTCTTCCATCCATTCCGATGGCACACAGATGAGTCCTCTGTGCTGGGCACTGTGCTACATACTCAAGAGATCATTTAGCCACAAACACTCACATACACATTGGTTTCCACACACACACAAATTTTTCATGCAGCTATTTGCATGTCCTTTATACATATAACCACAGATAAGTCCCACATATTCAGATACATACACGTACCTCTAAGGACACTCTCGCCATTCATGCCCCCTCTATCATCTGGCTATGTTTAGAATGGTCTTTGATTTTGCTTTCTCGGTGGCATTTTGCTGTCCTGATGGCAGACACTGTAAAGGTGGTAGGTAGGGTACAAGGCTTGTGAAATGAGCACAGTTTTGAACACACTGGCAGGTTCTAGTGTGTGATGTTTATCTTCAAAACAGACCTCATCTACCTTCCATTTTCCAGGGATAAGCTCTGTATTTCTCCCAGTCATTGGGGAGAGGGGGGAGTAGCTGAGCTGGGGCAGGGCAGCAGTGGCCTTAGTTAGGTCAGGCTACTCCGTTGCTAACTGTGAACTGCAGACTCCCTAATCAGGAGGACAGCAAGGGAGAGGGAGGCAATGAGCCACACCACCCTACTCATCCTGCCCTGAGATCAGCCTCTCCTGACTTAGGAAAGCCCAGAGCAGGTGGCCCTGCCACCAAATTAGGCCTCCTCTCTGTGCTGACCCCATGATGTTGTTCCCTCCCACACACACCCTTCTATCTCCAACCTCCCACTGACCCATCCCCCAGCACCCAGCTTCTTCCTTTTCAAACACGCTGTAAAATGGGGGTGTGAAGTCCTCAAGAGGACCCCACAGGTAAAATTTCAAAGTAAAGGAGCTCTGTTCTGAAGGGCACAGGCTTGGGGAGTCAATAACAGGCTAAAGTTTCTTTAGAAGCAAGTACAAGAAGCCTAGAGTCAGGCTGTGGGGAGCACCACTTTGAGCAGAAGCATTACATTCAGGGAAGACCCTCCAGTTCCCTCCCTCAGAGCCTTCAGGTACCAAGTGGGCAGCAGATGGTTGAGGGCACAGACATAGTGGCACGTCTACCTCGCTGAAAGATCTGGGGACAGAAGCTTCCACAGTTCCTATGAACGGGCTACTGCCATAGATGCCAGGGAGAAGGAGTCAGGGGCTGAGGAGAGAGTATGTCTTCGTTTCCAATCCTATAACAGGAAGTTTGGCTTTCAGAGTCATCTTTGACAATGGGGGTGCTGGAAGCAGGAGGGATCTAGAGAAGGCACTGGGAGTGTCTAAAGCCACAGTGGGCAATTCACGGACTGTCAACCTATCCCTAAGAAACTTAAAAATTAGTACTCGGGGTTGAGAAGAGACGGGAGGAATGAACAGGTGGAGTGCAGAGGATTCGTAGGGCAGTGGTAATACTCCGTATCTTCCAAAAGGATGGACACATCATGATACATTTGTCCCAACACGCGGAATATACAGCACTGGGAGTAAACCCTAATCTAAACTACGGACTCGGGGTGACTATGGTGCATCCTTGTCGCCTCATCAGTTGGAACAAACATCTCATGGCAGTGAGGGTGTTGCTGGTGGGGGCAGCTGTGCATCATAGGGGTGGGGGGTGTGCAGGGAAACTCTACCTCCCTTTCTGTTTTGCTCTGGACCTGAAACTGCTTGAAAACCAATTAAGTCTTAATAAAAATCGGTCTACCACTAGATACAAGGAAGAGAAAGAGATTAAGCTGATCGGAGACCATCAGAAAGCACGCAGTGTCACAGAGAGATTGAACTTTATTGAGATTTCCTCCCTGATGAAATCAGAATGGAAAGAACACTGGAAAGTTTCCACTTTGGAGAGCAACAGCAACAGTTCAGGCACGAATACTTACAAATAACTCCTCTTGGGGGAAATCTCTGGATCCTAAATTTACCTCCAGGTCCCAACCCCCTCCCCCTCCCCAAAGAGTCAGAATTCTGCTTGAAATCCACATCCACAGAGCAGGGGCCTGAACAGCACTGAACACCCAGGCCGACCAACTGACAAGCCTGCAGGCAATTCAGAGCAAAGACAGGTGAACCAGAGAGCAGAGGAACAGGAGCAAGGAAAGGCAAATGGATGGAACAAAGAAAGGGAGGAAAGACCACACTGATAACGCTGCCCCCCTGAAAGTAGAGACACCGTATGTATGCGCTGGCTCCCTTGCCCCGGCTTCCCCCAGAGCAATGGTGGCACGGGCCACTATGACAATGCCCACACAGTTCTGCACCTTTTATGTCCCAAGCTGAACTGAGAAAACCAGATACGCCAAGAGCAGCTCAAGGGCAATGGGAGCATCCAGGAGCAAGGTGGGAGGGCAAGCTCTTGAGAGGGTGCATGATGAGGAGGTGAGGCAAGGGTTGGTTTTTAGCAGCTTATCAGGCCCTGGTCACCAGGCCCCTCAGGTGCCCCAGTATGCCCATTTCTCTGGTTGGTTCTGCAGCATGCACCAGAGTGCTAATTCTGGGAAGCAGGGATTCCGAATTCTCCAGGTGGACCTAATCTGATTGCCAGCTTGCTTCCTCGGTCTCGTCCTCAGAGAGCCTCCCATCTGCCTTCATCTTTGCTCTCTTTCTGGTCCAAAGCAACTTCCTGGAGCTGGTGGACCTTGACCCAGATCTCCTGGATCTACACATACTGTTCATCCACCTACTTTTCATCAAAAGGCTCCTTCCCTCCATCCCCTGCTGCCCTCCAAGGTGGTACACCAGCCAGACAGGACTCACAGTGCATTCTTTCTCCGTGCCCTCTGGCCTCTGCTATCTCCCTAATCTCTCCTGGACACCGCAGTACACACGTATTCACACTTGTTGGTATCTGAAGGCCCTGGCTTCCCTGTGCTACACTTGGTATCAGTATCAAGGTCAGGTAGAAAACCAAATGTGAAGCTTTGGTTGCCACCCACGCGGAGTGGCCGATGCTGGCTCTGACTCATGGGAAATCACTGAGTTTTGAGTGTTGGCACATCAGGGAATGGAGAAGAGGAAGGAAAGGCCATGGCATGAAAACCAGGAGAAAATGACTCCCCTGCACAGTGTGTCTGCAGAGAAGTTGTGGAAACCGCCCCTCCTCATTGGGGGAGATGGGCTGCCCAGAGAAGACCCTAATGAAAAGAAACAAGGTTTCCATTATGCCCTCTGAAACCCAACGCCTTTGGGGTCTGAGTTTTCCAAGACATGCAATAGACAAAGACACACTGCAAACCAATTAACCCTCTGAGCCCTTCCGGTACTTTCACTGAAGTCACTTCCAAGAAGTAAATTACCTGAATACATGGAACACTCAACCTCCTCTTGGGGCTGAGAAAGGGATCGAGCTTTCCAGCTGGCTTGGAAGACTACATCGGAGAGATGGCAGTGGGGAGACAGATCCTTCTCCTCGCCGGGTTGGGGGTGGTGGGGGGCTTGGAGGTGAGGGGTGTGGGGGTAATGGGGGCGGGGGGGGGGCGATGACACACTCCTGATCGATCTTAGTGTTCTGGTATCTTAAGCCATTCTCCCACCCCTTGAGGAAACAGGAAAGAGGGCCTGGGGGTAGGCTCGAACCAAGGTGGCTTCAGACCCAGGAACTATCTCCTGCTGAAGCCAATCCAAGCCGGAGAGCCAGCGAGGGCTGGAGGACCAGTGGAAGACTGTGCGGAAAGAAGCTTCAAAAAACCTGAGCAGCCCTCCAGTAATCAAGTTTTCTCTATTTTCCCAGCTTACAGGGGAACTGCAGCTGCTTTTAGCTTGAAGCTTGTCACCTCAGTATACACTAGAATGTAGCTGCTCTCTGTCCCTTTGCCATAGGACCCAGGAAAAGCAGGTGGGCCCCTCACCGAAGCAACAAGACAAGGGGAGGGGGCACACTATAATTCACAGTTTCCTTTTGCCTCCCAACTCACACCACTGGCCTCAATTAACTCCCAAATCTCCGAGGCGTAATGATTCTCGCCAGTGTGGCTCAAAGGGTTAATAAACCAGGACTTCTCAGACAGTTAGGACACAAGCTCATCCACCAACAGGAACCCAAGAACAGCTACACAACCTAGTGTTTCTTATAGCGATTCTTTGGGGTTTCGCCACACCCTGTTTTGTCACAGTTGAGAGCACCTGGATTCTTCCCTAGCCCGAGGCTTCCCAGGAGGCCGGGGAGCTCCTGAGTGATGGCCCGCTCAATCTTCTCCAGAAAGCAGCCCCCCATGTAGGAGCACTGCTGAGACAGCAACTTGAAACTGGAGATGGGGTTGATACCAAAGAAGTCCTTATAGGCCTCACGGTTGGGAAGGTCAAACTTGCTGACGTTGGTCTTTGCCAGGATGGTCTTGAAGATGTAGAACTTGTCAGGGTCTTCCACGATGTCCTTAAAGACCAGTTCTCCATCGCTGAAGAAGGTCATTTTGTCCTTGTAAGTCTGCAGATAGCGGTCGACCAGGAGGGCATGAATGCGGACCCGGATGGCATGCTGGCGGATGAATGCAATCTTGTTCTCCAGCCTGTTCTCAATCACTTGGTTCAGGTCTTCCAGGAGGGAGATCTCTTCCTTGAGAAACAGGTCCCGGTGGGTATCGGGCTTGTAGTCTTGTGGCCAGAAGGAGCTGACATAAACCCGTGGGGGCTCTGTGACGTTGATGAGTGGGGCCAAGCTCCAGAAGAGGGCCCCATACACCCGCATGAGCATCTGCGTGGCCAGGTTGTCAGCCTTGTTCAGGATGATCCTTATCTGAGATTCACGTCCCTTCAGCTGCCGGAAGAGCATCTCTAGCTCCAGACCCACATCCAGCTTGGTTGGGTCAAACACAACAAAGATGAGGTCAGCTCTGTCGATGAACCACTGGCACACATCATTGAAGGGGTAACCTTGGTGGGGGGAGCAAGAAGTCAAGCTGAGCAGGCTCACCCTAAGCCCCTCCTGCCCCCTCCAGAACCAAATCATTGCCTGAGTGAAGGAAGTAAAGGCAGCAGGCATTTTCTGGGTTTCTAAAGACTACAAGAATTAATTATCTATTTCCTGCACTTTGTCAACCCCCAACCAAGAGCAGCCTGACCTTTGTTTTAATCTGTGGAATCCAAGGCTCCAGGAAAGCAAAATCCTTTTTTGAAATGGGTATCTTCCTACTGTCTAAAAAGATATGGGACAGTGGCAAAGACATCAAAGGGAAGAGGCCAGAGAACTAGAAGGATATGAAAGAGAGGATGTGCTATTGAAGGGGAAGCAATGTGGAGCTGGCCTAAGACCAGGACTGAAATTTGGGTTTTACCACTGGCCAGCCAGCTCTGCTTTGGAGTTTTACCATCTTAGCCACAAAATGACAAGAAAAACAGTAATACCTAAGCTGCTGTAAAGATTATTATGTTGCTATAAATAAATGAAAGTACCTGACACTGCCTCTCACACAGTAGGTGCTTGACATATTTTAATTCCTTCAACTTATTTCCAAAATGAGGAGACTAGGAATACCTGTCTTGAGATTTTTCTACAACAATCAACCAATAATGCATAAAATTGTCCAATGCATAATAGAATAAAGGTTAATTTACTATTATAATTATTAGTGATAATCTATTACTAGTCATAAAACAGTCATAAAATTAAAATGATGGGGGACGCCTGGGTGGCTCAGTGGTTGAGTATCTGCCTTTGGCTCAGGGAGGGATCCAGGGTCATGGGATCAAGTCCCGCATTGGGGTCCCCATAGGGAGCCTGCCTCTCCCTCTGCCTATGTCTCTGCATGAATAAATAAATGTCATGAATAAATAAATAAAATCTTTAAAAAAATTAAAATGATGGGATGTGTGGGTGGCTCAGTGGTTGAGTGCCTGCCTTTGGCTCAGGTGGTGATCCTGGGGTCCTGGGATCAAGTCCCACATGGGACTCCCTGCAGGGAGCCTGCTTCTCCCTCTGCCTACGTCTCTGCCTCTCTGTGTCTTATATGAATAAAGAAATAAGATCTTTTAAAAAATGAGACTTAGAACCATAAATTGAGATCTACCATCTGGTCATACAGTCCTACAAATTCCCTGTTATGACTCATCTCTGCAGACAGCCCTGTGTCATAGCAATACTCAGGGACCGCTGTCATAACCTAGTGTCTGCTGGGCTCAGAGAGGCACTCCAATGAGTCTAAGACAGGCTTATGTTGAAGCCGGCCTGGTAAAGCAGACACTGGACCAGAAAGAGTTTAAGGTCAGGTTCAAACCAGAACCCAAGTTAACCACAGGTCAATTACACCTGAACTGGGATCCAAGGAGTCCAGATTCTTGATCCCTCAGGAAAGCCTGAGCCTCCCAAACATGGCTCAGCCCCAGGGGGGACCTGAAGGAGCTACTTACAGAGAAGACCAGGCCTCCTCTTGGGAAAATATCGATCCCAAACCAGATCAGTCCTTGGGGAGGTGAAAGGACACAGTACTACACACCTAAGTAGCACCATAGGGACAAGCAGAAGGGACTGGAAGCAAAGACCACACCCCCTAGATCTTGGACAAGGCTGGCCACATTTCCTCTCCCCTATCTGCCTCCTACCCACATTGAACAGTTTCCTAAAACAACGCTCATGCTGTTCAGACACAAGTGTTTAATTACCTCTTTCTTGCTGTTTGCGGTTCTCAATGATGCCCGGTGTATCCACAAAAGTGACTCGCTCCAGAAGTTTGTGAGGAACCTCGATGCCAATCAGCTTCTCTAGGAAATTCTGGCCAAATTTCTCGAGGGGTGAGAAGGACCGGGCGCTGTCAGCAGCCATGACAATACCCTCGATGGTTTTCAGCTTGGGCCCATGCATGAGGACGGTGAACTCAGAGGTGGTGGGCTCAGCGCCTGTACACATGGGCAGGAGATCAGTAGGAACACAGTCACCTCTGGGACAGTGACTGTACTACAAAGTAAGTGGATAAGCAAGGGGTTTCTGGGAAGGTTTGCCATGAGAATTGGAGACCTGTTTGCTAAGCTAGTGTCTTCCTTCTTTTTTTAACTGTAGGAAAATATATTTAACAGAATTGACTATTGTAACCATTTTTAGGTGTACGGTTCAGTGGCATTAAGTACATTTACACTATTGTGTAGCCTTTACCACCATCTATCTCCCAAACTGAAACTGTGCCAAGTCATTCCCCCTTCCCAGCCCCTGGTAATCTCTACTCTACTCCGTCTCTATGAATGGGATGCCTCTAGGCACTTCATAAGTAGAATTGTAGGATATCTGTCCTTTCGAGTCTCGCTTATTGCACTTAATACAGTGTCTTCAAGATTCATGCATGTTGTAGCATGTTTCAGAAATGCATTTCTTCTTAAGACTGAAAAATATTCCATAGTCTATGTACAGATAAGACCCTTTTGTTTATCCATTCATCCACCCATGGATATTTGGGTGGTTTCCACCTCTTGGCCGTTGTGAAAATGCTCCTGTCAACTAATTACAGCTGCTGGTTTCTTGTATATAATTTTCATTGTTCTGTTGAAGACACATATAAATGTTTTATCGTGCTTTCACACAGGACATCGACATACCAACGCACACACACGAAAATCCCACCGTTACCTGTATAGAGCTGGTAGCGAGTGTTTTCCAGCCCGAGGAGGTAGTTTATCATGGTGGATTTCCCAACACTCCACGGTCCCAGGAACAGCACCATGGGCTTGGAAGTAATTTCCCCATCTGCAGGCAGCAGGAATTAGACATGGAAGTGACCAACAAAGTTAGTTACAGGAGTGACACAGTGTTCCATGCTGCATCCCATAGTCCATCTGAGTTATGGAATCCTACACGAAATCAGACAGGGTATGGCGATCCATTGCATGTCTCTTGCTACATAAGTGTGATCACCCAGTTAAAAGACACCAGAAGATATGGTTTTGAACTTACACAGATCCTTGGAACACAGGCACCAGAAGGAGTAACTAAGTGATATCAACAAACGCTGACTCAGAACTCACTGTGGGTGAAGCCCCCTGGTTTACATCTGGAGGATGGTGCATAAGAAGGGGAGGAGGGGGCACCTGGGTGGCTCGGTTGGTTAAGCATCTGCCTTTGGCTCAGGTCAGGATCCTGGGGTCCTGAGATCAAGCCCCACTTTGGGCTCCCTGCTCACAAGAAGCCTGCTTCTCCCTCTCCCTCTGCCATTCCCCCCAGCTCTTGCTCTCTGGCTCTATCTCTCTGTCAAATAAATAAATAAAATCTTTTTAAAAATAAACAAATACATTAATAAAAGAAGGGGAGAAGGGAGCTACCCTACGGGGAGAGGTTAAAACTCTGCTATCTGGGGACACCTGGCTGGCTTAGTCAGTGGAACGGGTAACTCTTGATCTTGGGGTTGTGAGTTTGAGCCCCATGGATGTAGAGATTACTTAAAAATAAAATCTTAAAAAAAAAAACAAAAAAAACCTCTGCTATTAGGATTGGTAACAGGAAAAAAAAAAAAAGACATGAAAGAGGCTGACACAATCTTAGACAGCCTAGAAGGGGGCCCCCTGACATCCTATCTCAGGCTCAGCCTGACCCTGGGCTCCCAGCCAGTCTTAAATTGGCCTCCAGAGACCATGACATGTTTGCCAGGTCCCAGGACTAACCACTGACTCGGCAGTTCTTGGGTTCCTGGGCCCTGTGTCCAATGTCAGGAAGAACACCCTGCTGGCCCACACCAGTTAGGGTCCCTGCAAAGGGAAAGCAGAATCTTCCAGGACTTTCAAAACTTGGGGGGGTGGCGAGTGGCTCAGCAGTTTAGCACCGTCTTCAGCCCTGGGTGTGAACCTGGAGACCGGGGATTGAGTCCCACATTGGGCTCCCTGCATGGAGTCTGCTTCTCCCTCTGCCTGTGCCTGTGTCTCTTTCTCTCTGTGCCTTTCATGAATAAATAAAATATTAAAAAAAAAACTTGGGGGGCAGGAGGGGGATGCAGCCACTGGCTGCAGACTCTCAGGCACGTGCTCTTGCAGCTTTTCTGAGTCACGGCACAGAGGCCAGCCTGGCGTCATGTATACACCTCAAGTTCTCCAACCTGTGTCGCCCTGAGCCTGGCACATAGGCTTGGACAGTGGACACTCTTTTTTTCTTTTCTGTTTTGATGTATTTAATTTCTTGGTTCAAAAATCAGAAGTATGGGCAGCCAGGGGGCTCAGCAGTTTAGCGTCTGCCTTCAGCTCAGGGTGTGATCCTGGAGACCTGGGATCAAGTTCCAGGTCGGGCCCCCTGCAGGGAGCCTGCTTCTCCCTCTGCCTGTGTCTCTGCCTCTGTCTGTGTCTCTCATGAATAAATGGATAAAATCTTAAAAAAAAAAAAAATCAGAAGTATAAAAAGGTATAGAGTGAAAGTCTTGCATCCCTGTCCCCAGTCTGCCTAGGCCATATCATCCACTACTATATTCTTTCAGGCATTTTAATACATGTAGTATAAGCAATATTAGCAGATATCACGTTCCCCATCTTTTTTATGCAAAGAGGAGTACAGTATTCCTCTTGTTCTGCACCTTGCTTCTCGATGTGCTGGTTTTCTTTCTCTAAGGCGAGAACTTAGTCCCAGAAGACCGAGACAGCGTCTCATAAGCGGCAGGCACATATGTAATTGCCTGAAATTGATACCACGGCTCTGCCCCATTCCTCCCTGCCTGCAAATACGCACAATGAATCACTCGAATCTCTGGGTGTCAACCTTTGGCTCGAGGACTGAGGGGATAGGCAGACTGAGGGGGTGGCAGGAGTCCCCAGTTATAGCCACAGAGCTCCTACAAAGAGTATCTTTTACCAGGCCCCGGAGACACAAGGGAACTGGACCTTCCAGCTCGCGGCTGAGACAAACCAGAAATGGGCTCTCTGGGAGTTGCTGTTTCGGCTGTCTGCAGCAGGGGGCGTCACTGGCATAGGCAGGAAGCCACAGGTGAGGCATGGAAGCTGCCTGAAGGCACATCTGCCAGCTGGTGGAATCCCTGGTACCCGGATAGGCCAGGGGAGAGAAGCCAAGCCCAGAAAGTGGGATCAGAAAACAGAGACACCCTCCAGCAGAGAACCATTTCCCCACCCCCTACCCATGCCCATCCCCCCCACCCCGCTCTCTGTCCACGGCCTGGGAGGGGGGCAAGCCAAGCCACTGGGTCTGAGGGCTACAAGGGAAGGCAACCCTGGACGACAGAACACATCCCCTGTGAAGCCCAAGAGGATGATGTGCTCCTAGGCTTGCAAGAGGCAGTCTGGAAAGCCATGGAAAAAAGGCATTCTCTCAGAGAAGCAGCAGAGGGTTCCAGCTCCTGGTTCCAGCTCCTGGTTCCTCCTGTGTGATCCTGGGAAACCCAGCATTTCTCTGGGCATCAGGTCCCTCTTCTGTGAAGCGGGGATAATGTATACTCTAAATACCCTACCCACGTTAGAGCCATCAGGAGCACCACATGAAGTAATACAGAAATCGCCAATTCACACAGAAAGAGATGCATAGTGCCAGTCACCAGTCAATCAGATGCCACTGTGAAAGTTTTCAGAGATGAATAACTCATAAAAAGGGCATGGCAGGGATCTCTGGGTGGCTCGGTGGTCTGACGCCTGCCTTCGGCTGGGGGCGTGATCCTGGAGTCCCAGGATCTTGTCCCACGTCGGGCTCCCTGCGTGGAGCCTGCTTCTCCCTCTGCCTGTGTCTCTGCCTCTCTCTCTGTGTGTGTGTGTCTCTCATGAATAAATAAATAAAATCTTTTTAAAAAATAGAAAAAAAAGGGCATGGCTCCAGGGAAACAAGATCTCTCACAGACCATCACTGCGGCCACAAACTGCTACCACCTATAAGGCAACTTGGCAACAACTGTGAAAACTTAACTCTGGTGTTACACTTTTAACAATTTGTCCTGCAAATATATTTGCACGGAAGACATAACAGTTTTGTGCTGGTAACATTTTTGGAAAAGGAACATGGCGAACGCTCTGTTGTCCTAAGTAGAACAGTGATTACACAGTGTGATGCTCTCAGACACTCAGAAAGAGCAAAGCAGGGCCATGCACACACAACCGCGTGTTGTGATACCATTGGGTAAAACAGAGAAGGACATGCTTGCATATGTTCATGTGCACAGAGCAAATGTCTGGAAACTGTAACAGAGGGAGTCTCTGGAAGAGGAAGCAGAGAAGTGGAAAATCAAGAGAGGGATTTTTATTTTTCAATGCATAGTGTTTTCTACTATTTGATTTTTTTGGTTTGGCAACAAGTGTCCTTTGTTCTTATTATTCTGAATAACAAACTTTTTTTAAAAAAAAGATTTTATTTATTTATTCATAGAGACAGAGAGGCAGAGACACAGGCAGAGGGAGAAGCAGGCATCATACAGAGAGCCCGATGTGGGACTCGATCCAGGGTCTCCAGGATCACGCCCTGGGCTGCAGGCGGTGCTAAACCGCTGTGCCACCGGGGCTGCCCTGAAAACAAACTTTTAAAAGAATCCAGACCCAAGGAAAGCCGACCAAAGGAGTGATAATGAGAAGAGAAGGACTCCAGGCAAATTACGGGACTTAACACATGATCCCTTCGCAGGCAGTCCGGGGGCCCTCAGGGGACCCTTCAGCACAGGCGAGAAGTGGGAGAGTGGAAATTGGCATTGCCGTCCTTGTAAACCACATCTGCATTACTGAAACATGAACACCTGCAAACAAAGTGATCTCTACAAAACCCTGTGCAGATTAGGGCACCCTTGCAAAGGAAGGGTGATGGCGGGACTGAGGCCTTCCTGCGGGGAGGGTGGATTCAGGAGAGCTCAGCTCCACATGTGCTCACACCTACCACTCACAGAGCCCCAGAGAGCACAGGCATCAGACACAAGATGTACCTGTGATCTCATGCTGCCGAAGCTCGTTGTATTTGTAAGACTGCTCCAGGGGCTTGATGGAGGAATGGTAGATCTTTCGAAGCCGCTGCAGCACCACTGAGGGTAGAAAAGGATGAAAGGAGAGGGTGAAGGGAGAGAGTCTGGCCCACTCCCCAGGGTAGCTCCCCACCAGGGCAGTGACTGATTGCCCTGTATTAGCATTCCTGGAAGGAGTTGGGCCACATCCCAAACCTCAGAAATCTTTAACCAAAAGGCATTCCCTCCCACCCTCAAAACCTCCTGAACTATTTTTTTAAAAAACCTAATCCTCTTCTCCTTCCATGGAGAAGCAACTCACAGGGTAAGGCTGGGAGCCTGCAGGGTATGAGGCCCAGAAGGAGGAACTACAGGCCCCGGCCAGGCTGTCTACACCCTACACTCTACTCTCCCACTGCTCCCCTCTAGCTGTATGCCCTTTGCAAACCGTGGCTGCTCCGAGCTCCAGCTAGCTCATCAATGAAGAGGAGGCAGTAAGCCCCACTGCCTTGGGTTATTATGAGGATGAAGTGCCAGAAATAAAAGGGCTTTATAAACTGAAAAACCAAAGCAGATGGGATGAACTCTTTTTAGCAAGCCTCCCCGGCCACTGCATGAAGGCTGGCACCGGGCCCCAGGCAGCACTGGGATTTGTCCTCTACCCTGGCAGAGTTTTCTCTGCTTGGATCACCTTCCCCTCACCCCATTAAGCCAAAGTCCCCATGCGGGCCTTGAACGCGGATCTTGGGGGGGTGCGGCTCTTCCACGGAGCCCCCTCCCCATCTCCAGGGCTTTTGGCCCCGGGGACCCGCCGGCCTCAGAGCCCAACCCCGGAGGTTACGCCTGGCCCCTGGTTACACAGCTCTCCCAGCTCCAGTCCCAGGGCCTCCCTCTGGTTACCAGAGTAGTCATCCACTGGCTTGTCCTCATTCAGCATCAGAGTCTTCTCTATGTGGGAGCGGTCCCTCATTGGGGCTTCTTCACTCACATCGTCTGCCTCTTCTGAGGAGAGAAGCAGAGAACAGGGTTAGGGCAAAGCTAAGAGCTGGGCTCTAAGCCCGTGAAGACAGGGAAGGGCATAAGGAAGAGCTGCAGGAAGGCTTGCCAAGTTCAGCTGAACGGAGTTCTGTCTCTAGGACGGACTCTGAAAACCCACCCCAAATTCTGCAAACTCCATGATCCATTTTACCTCTTCAACAAATACTGACTGAACACGTACTAGGGGTGAAGCACTGAGCTCCACGCTGTGAAAGCAGTGGTGCCCAAAACAGACACAGCTCCTGCCCTTAGGCAGTTTTCCTATAGTCTCTCAGGGAGGTGGGCGCAGAAGCGGGGGCGGGGGGGGGGGAGTCATCTTGAAAGTAATGTAATAATTACAGTTAGTGTCATGGCTAAGGCAGGAAAGATTCCAGAAGTTATGAGGACCTAAGACTTGCACCTATGAGGTCTCAGCAGGGGTTCAGAAAACCTCCCTGAGAGCTGAGACCCCCGGGGAGGAGTTAAGTAGGCTAAAATGGAGCAGGAGCCGGTAGTGATTTAGAGGCGTCTACATTACTTCCCAGGAGCCTGGAAAGGCTCTAAGCAAATAAGTGACCTGACAACACAAGCATTTTATCAGGATCACACTGGCTGCTGTGGGGCTGGGACAGAAGTGTGGCTGGGTGTCTTGGGTGGGGAGTGGGGGGCAACCAGTGCTTCTGACCAAGCGGGAGATGCCCCTGTGAACCCTTCCAAGCTCCCAGGGAGGGGTGCCCATGTTGCAGGTGCCCTGAATCACAGCCATTTGTACCGGGTGGGATGGACTTGGGATGAGGGGCAGGGGAGACCAGTTCCACAAGGTAAGGGAGCAGAAAATAATCACTGTGCCTCACATAACACCTCAGGAGTATGATTCTCCACCAAGATCAGCCCCGGCACCCCAACTGCACATGCAGTACAGAGCAGACCCGGGAAAAGGGGAGCCCCCCATGGCTGCAGGCCCTCCCCCTTGTGGAGTGTACAAGGATCCAACAAGCAGTGTGGAAACTAAATCCTGCCAGGAAATCTGTGGGGGAGCCATGCTGGAATGTGAAGACTGAGCCCAGTCCCTCCATCCCAAGGCTGCTTTGGTCCAGGCCAGCCTATTCAGATGTGGCTTGTCCCCCACCCCCAGCCATCCCTAGGATCCCCTCCCCTGCGCCCCATTAACGTCACAGCCAGCCTGAGGTTTCTTATCGCCATCCTGACCCCGGTGCCTGTCCACCCCACCTGACCTGGCCTAGTCTTCAAGGGGAGACCCCCGGGGGGCTCGGGAACACACCCTCCCTGCACCTCTCTCCACCAGCCTGCCACTGCGGGGCCTCAAAACCTGCCACTACATCCCGTGTCCTTCAGGTTACGGCACTGGTCCCAGTTAAAGTCAATTGAGGGATCCTAAGAGGAAGGCTCTGGAGGGCCTAGCTGGGAAGTGATGGGGTCATTCTGGGCCCTCCATGGTGCGGCCTCCCACTCGTCCCTCCAAACGGGACGGTTTGCTGACCCGTGAGCAGCCCGAAGGCACCCCATGAGCCAGGCATCCTGGCAGGGCCCCCACCCAGCAAACCCGGAGCTGGCTGGAGCTTCTCCAGGGCCCCCACCCCCACCCCATCCCTGCCTATCCCACCACACGCATCTTCCAGGATGAGGGCAGCTGCCCGAGGGGCCAGGAGCAATCCTGGCAAACCCCTACCCTGAGGCCCCTCCTTGGGCTCCTCTGCCTCGGGCCCTGTATTCAATTCCTTGGAGCTCAGCTGGGCCCCCTCTTCTCTAGGGCTCATGGTTCCTGCTGCTTCCTGGGGTTCCCTGGCTTCCTCTGAGGTACCCCCTGCTTCTTCTGAGCTAGCCCCGTCGCCACTGTCCTCCTCAGATTCTTCTTCAGATGGAGCTCCTCCTCCTTCCTCGTCTCCACTCTCTTCCTCAGAGGAGGCCTGGTCCAGGCCCTCCTCAGTTAGCCCTGGTGCCAGGCCCTCCGGGGGGTGGTCTTCCTGGGTGCCCCCCGCCTTGGAGTTCTGCGCGGTGCCGGCCTCCGAGGGTGGGCTGGGGCTGGGCTCCCCCTGGCCCTCGGCCCCCTCCTGGGTCTCTGTGTTCACATCTGTGATTCCATCGGGCACTTCCAGCTCCTGATCAGGCCCCGGGCTGTCCTCCAGTTGTGTCTCAGGGGCGTGGACCTCCTTTACCTCCGGGCCAGGAAAGGCCCCCGAGCCCTCAGGCTGTGCAGTCCCTACTGCCGCCCCCTGCTCCGGGTGCTCCCCTAGGACCTCCTCAGCCTCCCCAGGGACCACACCCCTCCCGGCCTGTCCTTCGGCCTCTCCAGCAGCCCCCTCCTGACCTGGGCCCTCTCCCAAACCCAACTCTCCCCCAGGCTGGCCCTCCCCATCTGGAGGAAGGGTGCTGGCTCCCGGTGGGCCCGCTTCTTCCTCCCCAGGCCCCGCAGGGCCCCCGGGGGCAGCTGACTCTGAGGCTGAGGCATTGGAGAGGCTGGCTTCAGGAGCAGAGCCGGGGCTGGCGGCGGGGGCCCCGGCGGCGGGCTGCTCCGAGCTCTCAGCCTCCCTGCCATCCGGGGAATGAAGGAGCAGGGTCTTCTCTCGAGGGGCCGCCTCCGCATAAAGCGCCCTTTCCTTCTCCTCTAGACTTGCTTCTCCAGCAGAGAAGTGATTCTCCAACAAATTGCCAACATCTTCTGTGCCACCCGAAGCGGAAACTTGCAGTTCTAAATGATTAGAACACCATTGGTCAGTTTCACAGGGTTGGCACTCACTCTGCTTCCCTCAAGCGTCTAACGTCTAATGCAAGCTAGCTCCCGTCCTCCGGGCCAGGTGTGGGCCGAGGCATGTGCCCTGAGGCAAGCACAGGGGCGTTAGGCATTACTCCGCCTCCCGCCCAGGCCCCGGAAGCTGTGGTGGCTCGGGGGTGATCACCCGCGGTGCATCCTCCCTGAGAGCCCCACCCTGGGCCGGGCCCTCGGGCCTCCCCCGGGTCCTGATAGCTACAGGGCTGGAAATCAGGGATCCCTTCCAGCCCTCCCTCAACCTAGTGGCGTGCACACGTGCAGCGGGGTTCACTAGGAGATCTATCCAAGATAGGACAGATGCTTGGACATTCCACCCCCTTGTCAGTTCCTAGAGTCATTAGCCACGTGCTTTTTATACTGCTATCAGCAAAGGAGGGAAAACAGGTGTGTGGGGGCCAGATCATCTCAGGTTACACCACAAGTACTTAGGGGATTACTTGTGGCTCTGGGCCTTAAGTCATATATCCAACTCTGTCCCCTTAAGGGCAGGCATTTGCTGGCCTTGCTACCTTAGATTAGAGGGGACGTGGCCCAAGGAGGAGGGGATATCCAAAATGGGCAGGGCCAGGGCTTCCCGGTGGCCTTAGCCAACCCCTTCCAGAGGGGATCCCTTTCTAAGGGCCCATGGCTTCACCCATGGCACAGAAAGAGGAGAGCAGGAGAGCGTGAGGTGGGGGGCCTAATCTGTGCCAGAGACGTCTGTCAGGAGAGAAGTGTGATTTATGTGCAAAATGGGGTCAGGAGAGAAGGTTGGGTCTATCCTTTCTGTCTCCTCCCACTGGGGCTGGGACCTGTTTAAGGGGGAGGTTAAGGACACCTGGGTGGCTCAGTGGTTGAATGTCTGCCTTTGACACAGGGCATGATCCTGGAGTCCGGGGATCGAGTCCCATATCGGGCTCCCTGCATGGAGCCTGCTTCTCCCTCTGCCTGTGTCTCTGCCTCTCTCTCCGTGTCTCTCGTGAATAAATAAATAAAATCTTAAAAAAAAAAAAAAAAAAAGGAGGGGGAGGTTCCAGGAGAAGGACCTCTGCAGACATGGGGGGCAGGGGGTGATGAGGGATGACTGGCCTTCTGCCTTGGGGTAGCTGAGACAGCCCCGAGGACTCCCTTGACTCACAAAGATGCTTTCTGAGGAAGCAGCATCCCATCTCTGCTGAGACAGCCTGGTACTCCCACCTCTGCCTCCCACCAAGAAAAGCCACTTTTGGGGTGCCCCTCTTGCGTCAGGGTACCCACTCGCCTTGTTCCCTGAAAGCTGGGGCAGCCTCCAGCGGCCAAGAACAAATATTTTCTCATTAACCCCCCACAGCAGCAATCTGCTATCAAATTCAGAAAGAGGAAATTTGGGTGTCTCTTAATTATAAAGGAGTTGCTTACACTGATTGGACACTTTCACATTCATGACCTTGGCTGACCTCCTTGATTACCATCAGACACATTTTCAGAATGTCTAGAGAAAGTCTTTGACTTGCCTAAGACAGCAGGTGGCTAATGGGTGACTGGAACCCACAACTGCCTACTCCTCGTCCAGGCCTCCTGTGCCAACATGTGTTTAGGGGCGCACAGGGGAACCCCAGCCCTCACCCTTCCCTGCACACACCTTCTCTCCACGTTTGGACTGCAGGAGCCAAGGCTTTAATAATCTTCCCCATGTTCCCCAGGCTTGGGACTTTGCCTGGCCCACAGAAAGTGCTAGGGAGAGGTCTGTGGTGACATCTGGGTACAATAAGAATTTCTGGTTCCTCTGTGGCAGAGGTGGAGGTTATCCATTAAAATTTTCTTTCCCTACCTCCTAATTCTTCTGCCTGCATCTCCATCCCCCCACCCCCTGACTCCCTGGAGAAAAATCTATGGCAGGAACTTGGTTTAACCCAGAGACTGACAATCCTGAGCAGCAAGATACATGTAATGTATGTCATATGAGATATATTCGTACAATTTATTCAGTGTGCAGGCAATGCTTAAGCATTTTATATAAATAAAACATTAATTGATCTTACTCAATTTACTTAATCTCACTTGCTTCTGGAAGACAAGCCTTCCTCTTATCCCTGTTTTATAGCCAAGAGGACTGAAATCTGAGACACTGAATGCCTTGCCCAACACACAGCTGACAACTGCTGAACCCATTTAACTACAGAGTAGCAAAGGAGATTGCCTGGCCCTAAGTGGGGTATTACACCCATGCTACTCAGAGTGCGGTCTGGGCACCTGCAGAACCAGCACCCCCGGGGTGCCTGGTACAGATGCAGACTCACAGGGCGCAGCCCACACCCACTGAATCAGAATCTGCATTTTCACAAGATGCCCCAATGCTTTGTTTCCACATTAGTTTGAGAAGCACTGGTCTACACCCCCTGATAAAAATGCCTCTGACCCAGTGGTTCTGGGCACCAGCTACACACTGGAATCATCCAGTTCTTGGTGCCACTCCTCCCCTCTCCTCAGAGGTTCTGATTGAACTAGGATGTTTCCCTAGCATCAGGACTGGAACAAAAAAAAAAAAAAAAAAAAACCACGATAATTCTAACATGCAGCCAAAGCTGCAAACCACTGATAAACCAAATAATCCTGAGCCCTGAGGCCATGAGCCCAAGGGCTGAGCCCAATCCTGAGCCCAAGGCTTCTGCTCCTGGCTCCTCCCAACTCATGTGACCACTGGAGGCTCCTTGGATGAGTCACCCAAGGCTTGGCACATACTCTTGAAATAGCAATGGTCCAGCCTTCTCTGATGAATCTATCCTTTTCCATAGGCCCCTACTGCCCTCTACTATTGATGATGTTGATTGTAGGAATGGTGGTGATGGTGGTGATGGTAATGATGATGGTGGGGATGGTGGTGATGATGACAGTGGTAATGGTGGGGATGATGGTGGGATGGTAGGTGGAATATACTCTGGGTCTGACCACCTGTGGTGTTTCCAATATTCTCAAAACACCTTCTGTTCCTGGCAAGGGTGAAAGGGCTACATAATCCCAAGGGAGATGAGCACCCCAGACTTTGGGGGCTTATCATGAACTTCCCATTGTTGTGTATTTCCACTCCTGGGCTGCGGACAGGAATTCAAGTATCTGCCTGTGTGTATATACATTTACATCTATAGCCTTCCTTGATTTTTAGGATTTAGTGTCAAGCTGTCACTGACCTGCTAAGCAATTTGGAGCAAAAAAAAAAGACCAAGGGTGATGCCTTCATGCCCTGTGACCTTCCTTCCCAGGCTATAAATAACTCTGATGGAAAAATCTCTCAATGAAACAAGCTGTGGCATTGGGTCCCCAGAGCCCAATCCCCAGGAAGCAGCTGTGCCACTGAGCCTGATATCTCCTCTGGGAGGCAGTCAGAAGCTTCAAGAGCCTCTGATTAAATTCAGTTCAATTCCATGAAATTAAATCCAATTCCCTCTCTCCTTGATCTCCCCAGCATCTAGCTGAAGCCCCCTAACGGCCCCTGGAGGAGGTGAGAGAAGGTATAGGGCACCCAGGACACCTGAATGGGTTGAGAGCCCGGTAAAATGAGTGTTGGTCTACCCCAGGACACACCGTACTGTACTGTATGTGCTGCTGCCAAGGCAGCCATCCTGACCCTGGACGGGCCTGGGTGCTTACATCAGAGTACATGAATAGCAAGCCCCCAGCTCAACCCGAGATTATGGGAAGGCCTGCGTGCTGGACAGAGAATGGCATAAACCAGTTCTGCTTTCTCTCCTGACACCCCCTCTGCTGTCTTTGGAGTCAGCCTTTTGGTAGCTTGCCCCATCTGCAGCCCCAATGGGGGGTCCAGGCTCAGTTCCTCTCTCTACTGCCAACCAAACACCTGATTTTCCCCAGCTCCTAACCTGTTCCAAAGCACTTTCACATGGACTCAGAACTGTGGAGTCACCAGGGGCCTTGCCGAGTCCAACTGCAGAAGGGGAAGCTCTGGCCAGGGAGCCTTAGAGACTTTCCCAAGGTCAGGGTAGGGTTGGGACAGAGCCCAGGTTCATGACTTTCAGTCCAGAGTTTGTTCTACTCCCACGTGGTTTGCGAACCAAGTCCTGTGAAGGCCAGGGCTCCAACATGTGCCTGAGGGGTGTGGGAAGATGAAGAAGCTAGGGTTCTGCCACCCCTTTACCTCCTGCTTTCCTTGGGTCTGTTTGTCCCTCTCAGGGACAGGATGGGGGCCTAAGGATAGGGGTATGTGACAGCTACTGCTTCTGCCTCTCTTGCCTTGTCCCTAAAAATTCCAGTAGCTTCCTCTTGATCATTTCCCCAGAAGCCTAAGGAGCCCCCACTACAGCATCTGCTGAGCTACAGCCAAGCACTGAGCTGGGTGATGTCTTGTCTTCACGCAGAACTTCACATGTCCCAGAACAGTATTATGTTCTTCTCTCATCCTGGCAGCCCACTGAGGCATGGGAAGCAAGGACTATTAACCTCTGAGGAAGCGGACACAGGAGAGTCAAGTTGTTTGCCCAACAAGCATTCCAGGGATAAGCTAGAACTCGGGCCAAGAAACAAAGCAGAGCTCTCAGGCCACGTGCGGGTGGTATCCGAGAGCTGCAGGGCTTTCTAAGCACAGACGCCCAGTCTCCAAGGCTGGGTCAGCGTGAAGCTCCATGTTTCAGAAGGCGGTTCTCATGAGCACCAATGTTTGGGAAGCACTGCTCCGAGACAGCCTCTGTGCCAGGCATCAGGGAGTCTGTGTTGAAGCTGGAGATCAGGACAAGAGAGGTCAGAACCTGAGACCTTGTTTGGCTGACCTGGTTTGAGCCCACCTCTAGGCGCTGAATACATCCAGTGTCTCCACGGAATAGAAGTTAACTTCTAAACTCAATCCCACCTGTCCAAGACTCCTTAGCACACAACTCTAAGGATCTGCCAAGGTTATCCTCCACGGGTCTTCTCATCCGATTGAAGCTCCTGAGTCCAAGTCACACAGG